AGTGAGGAAAGGGTTCTGAGAGCCTTGGAAGTGATATTCGTGATCACCGCGAAATTCTCTATCGAATGGTGTATGAAGTGTCGAAAAATAAATTTCACTGCAAGGCTGCCCTGGGTGCATCTTACATGGAGTCCGACCTTCTGTTAGTAAACAGCTTGCGATCGGCGAGGTGTGTTTTCCAATAACCTCCTCTCGTGTCAAATGACGCCGTCCCAAATAATTAAGGACAAAATGTTGTACGAGGGCGTCTCTTGCGCTAGAGATAATAAAGCCCATCTGGCGTTTGTCACTCACACCGAAATTGCAGCTAATACCGAATTACTGACGCCGAGTTTTAATTTCATCAAAAGGTATGCCAATGCACTGCGAGCGGATCTCGTCAGAGAATTCTTCAGAGCACTTGGAGGTATACGTGACAGAATATGACTGTATTCCGCTCGAGTGAAGCCTGTCAGTATTTTATAATCTGAATCAGGTATCGAGAGGCAATCATCGAAGTCGAGGTGCTTCTTGTTGATGACTTTTGAACGATATGATTCCAGTATGTTCATCAGGTCTTTTCGAAGCAAAACCCGATCTTCCACTTTATATGGCAGCAAAGACGAGAATGCTTCGCTTGATAGCTGATTATCTATCATGTGACTCGCGCAGCACCTTGATCCTATCGGTATATTGATATGACGTCGGAGAAACATTTCACTCCGATCGTCTTCACCAATGATCTTTGTTGGAGGAACCATATGAACCTTGCACACACAACACTGCCTACAACATAGAGGCTTTCCCGAGAAGCTCTTTCATGTCATACTGTAGCTACCTGTTTGAAGAAATCGCCACTTGAAATGGAATCTCGATTGTCTGTTCAAAATCACCATCGTCAATCATCATCGCGTCATTCTAAGTATCTATGAAATCACGAAGGATATTACATATTACCTACTGTTCCACATGACCGATCTGTGCATATTTCTTCATCTTCTCCTTCATCCACACTGGCTACTTCATCAGCCATGTCATTATCACTAGCTGATTCGTTTATTGACTGGCGATCGGCGTCCATCAAATCTTTGTCACTTGTTGTTTCGTCTGATGTCTGACTATCGTTATCGTTCGTCATGCCTTCTTCGTCACTCGCAGCGTCACCACTAAGATCGGCCATGGATGACGTCGGCATTTCTTGTCATCGTCGAAGTCTATTGTGGAAAGAATATGATGGAGCTCCGGTAGCATCTTCCATCGATTATACATCGACCGACATTTGGAGCAAATAAAGCCATCAGTAGGGATCATGCTTGGATATAGGCGGGTAGCAACGAAAAGCCGAAGACATTTGTTATTGAGAGAGCGTCGACCACCTGGACCGACACGAACACCACAGCATGCACATGCACAACATTTACTACTGGTAGAGTTTCCCTGGCCTACACTACAGGTGACTAGGATGTGTCACCCTATGTCCTAAAGAGTATTGACCAGGGCAACTACCTCAGCGCAGCATATTTTAGACCATGTTTTAGCATGGTTTTGTAGCTCTCAGTCAGCGCTATCTACCCTAGAAAAACGGCAGTGGTTCACTGTTCCTCCGTAGAGCTTCCCTGGCCTACACTACAGGTGACCAGGATGTGTCACCCTATGTCCTGAAGAGTATTGACCAGGGCAACTACCTCAGCGCAGCATATTTTAGACCATGTTTTAGCATGGTTTTGTAGCGCGTCTCAAGAGCTATCGATGCTGCATAATCAGCCTTGTTCAGCTCATTCAACACTTGAGATCGAGTTAATGTAAAATGGTGGAAGCGTATGTAATAACGTCATAAATTCAGGTTGTCAGAACTTTTCAAGGAAGCGTTCTGGGGACCAAGTTCTGTGACAAAAAATGCTCAGCTCGTCGAGATCTATCAGGCTATATGTAATACTTGGGGTTCTGAGGACTTTTTCTATTGGGGCCGATTTGTGGACAAACCCTCCCCCAGGTCGTACATGACACAATCCAACACTTTACGAAAAACCAGTTTTGAGAAAAATGGAAAATAAGCTTGAGCAGTGAATTTTTCCATCGAGAAAAGTTGAAAGTTCGGTTTTCACCATTTTTCAAGACAGTTTTTTATGGTGAATCTGATGACAATATTTTTAAATTTTTTCAACAAATCAAAACTTCGACCACTTTGTGAAAAACAGGTTTCTCGTGGAACGGAATACAATTTAGCGGTAGGCCCGATTGAACTCATTCGAACACAGTTCGAAATGTCAACAACCAGTCTACCTTCAGAGCATACAAACAAAAAATAATGAAAAAAAATGTTTCATTGAAAAAGAGGGGTGGTACCCTTAATTCACTCATAGAAATAAAAAGAACGTAGAAGTCCTACGATGGATATTGTTTGTCCTAAAATCTCTATTTCGTAGGTGCTATCGTTTTACTCAAAACCTGTTTATAGTCGTACTAAGAGACGACGCTCTGACCACAAAAAAAGAAGGGGATGAATGAAGAGAAAAGATTGAATATGCTTTGAGAAAAGAAGATATGAATCATGTGAAAAAACGAAAAATGATGTTAATATTTTCTCTTTTTAAGATCTATACATGATCGGGATATAAGATTTCAGAACTGATTAGCTGGTAGTTGTCAGCTCGTTAACTATAAGGTACCCTAGACCGACTACGGAGTTTCATTCAATAGATTGAATATATGATGCGGGTCGAAGGAATATAAAAGAATCTTCACAAAAAAAACACAGAGAGAAGAGAGGAGTTTTGTGATTGAGGTCAGATATATGTGGATAGTACACATAGGCGGATGCCCTTTTTGATCTAGATGAAATAGACTCTGGGTTACATTTGACTAATGTATAATAACTCTATGTAAAGGAAGAAAAACCAATAAGTATTTTTCACCTAAAAAACAAATTTTGCCCAAGTTTAATTCTGCCTGAAACTCAATGTTGCCTGTGACATATATCTACCTTTTCATCATCCTACGTTCTGAATTTTCTTTGAAACAGAAGGAAACATGTTTCTTCTGATGTAATGTTGTTTGTTTCAAAACAACGAAAACAATGTAGTCTTTTGATCGAAAATCATAGTTAAAAAATCCAAGAAACTATTTATCAATGTAGAGGTCTTCATTCACTCCAACGGGAATCACTGAGGGATAACAACGTCAGAAAATTTGGTCGATTACTTCTTCATCCGTCCCAAATAAGTCAACCTCAAAAATTCAATATGTCTCACTTGCTAATTTCAGACATCGATAATCGTGGGAAAAAAAGATATCACCACTCGTTCGAATCGTTAATTAATGAATATATCATGTCATAGTTGAAGTACTTTCGTTTTAATTTCTCACCAATGTCATCTTATGCAATTTAAAAAAGTTTTAACGATCCATTCCAGAAACGTATGCGCGCACTGCATGATTTGTAAGTGCAATAGACCTGTTAGAATCAAACTTTGATACCAAACATTCGAGATGAAATTAAAAGCCTTTCTAATGTTTTTTTTATTACCCACACTCTAAGTGATTTAGCAGTGCAATACACACCTGTTAGAATCACACTCTGATATCAATCAATCAATGCTATATCTAAAGCTTTGTTAATTTTTTTTTTGCGAAAAATCATGTAAAAAGAATGTAATCGATTTGAAAAGCAATCATTCTAACTTGAAATATTAAAAACATGCTTCGAATCATCGTTCTCGTTTTATCTGTTACTCTTGCTAATGGTGTCATGGGAAATAATCTTAACTTTAACCAACCCAAGTGTGAAATAGACTATAGTGAGACTTATCCTAATACTCCATGTTTTGGTAATGTGCAAACGGATTCAAGATGCGACAATAGTTTTTTGAAAATTGCCAAAACTCCCTTTTATGGCTGTTCAAATGTACTTATATTTTGGAATTATCCAAGGCAAAATTTCACAGTCACGATTGAATCAGCAAATTATACCAAATTAAAACAACCGTTTAACGTCTCGTTAAAGCCGATTTTTAATTTTCCTCTCTACAGAATTTACCCAAATGGACGAGAAGTTTTAATTTCAAATACAACGACACAATACATAGTACAAAAATCGGATGCAAATTATCAAGTTGTATTGAAAATTCAAGCACAAAAACAAATGACATTCTTTGGAGCTTCCATCGAGTATACAGTTTCTCGAGCTTCTACTTAACATTTTTCAACTGAAGATGTTTCATAACGAATAATTCGAGTTTGTCTACGAATAATAGTGGAAAAAGAAAACTTCTCTTTATTATATCATTACATGAATTAATTTTTGGTATCATTTTTTTTGTCTTAAAGAAATGAAACAATGAAATAAACAATAAGTCATAGTCTGTTTATTTCTGATTATTAGCTGAAATATGACCAAGCTTTTGATAACTACTACCGTCATGCATTACGAATGATGGAAAATGAAGAGAAAAAGGGGAGAAAATATATGATACGCGCGCAAATATACAACAGAAAAGTGAAGAAAAGACACAGGAATATATCCAAGCACATTGTTGGTCATAACACAGCTACACTGAAAAAAAAATGGCACAAATCGAAACCTTATAGGTTTCGTGGGTCTTTAATATCCACTGACAGGTATCGAATGATCCACGAAAAGGTTATGTATAATAATAGGTTCCGTAAAATAAACTTTTTGGACTCTCGACGCCGAAAAGGTATCGTAAAAAATCTTTCAAGGGTATCGTAGTCATGAGGGCTTCGTATCAAACTGTTTTTTCCGTGTTTCAGTTATGATACTGACTGATGTCTTCTCATTAGACAACCGACCAATTCGAATTTTCCGGTTTGCTTGTTTATTTATCCATCACTTTATAATCGACTTCATATTTCAGTCGTGTTGTTCAAATTTAAGAGTTCCATACAAAAACTTGGGGGTGAGAAATCTATAATACGATTCATAAATGGTGAAGTTAAAAGCATAGATATAAGGAGATAGATTAAGAAATCAAAGAACTAAGGCCCCCTCAAAAATGGATCTCAGCTCCGGCTCGTACGAACCACATGAAATTTTCAGGATATGTTGGGGCTGTATTGCAGAGGCTATAGTAAACTTTTCAGCCCGATCCCACGATGCTTGATGAAGATATCAACCAAACAGGGGTCAAAAAATCGCTCATCTTAGCGTCACGGTAGCTCTGTAGACCTTCATTCTATATATAACATTTTTGGAATCGAAATTGGTACTCAAAATCCTTTCCTAGGTCAATTTGTTTCATATAGGGTCGAAAAGACTCCCAAAACACAGTTTTCACCTAAAAATGCTTTGTTTTCGTATTGAGAATGGTATCCAATATAGTCTACTACATCCGCCACGAGCTAATATTACACGAAAAACCTTCTTCATGCGGTGGCTGAGATATTAAACATACTTTTCTGCATGATTTGACCATCTGGGACCATGTTCCGAGATATGGCTCCAGAACTCGAATTTTCCCGCTAGAAGGACCATCCAATTTTATGACCAAAAATGTTTTTCAGTAGTGTTTGATCTTTTGCACATAGCAGGACTGCACAGAAAATTTTTTTCCAAAAAGTGGTAGGGTCCCCCTGGATCTACCCTAGAAGTGTTGGGTAGTTCCATGGGAACTCAAGCACTTTTACATCGAAGTCTTCTGAATCGCCTCTTTTGTATGTCATTCAGTAGAGCTCCGAGAGTTATTCCTACAGCCAAAAAATCAGGGTCTCTCCATCTACCCTTCGAGAGATACGAATATCACAAGTTTTGTCCTGTTTGCGCAACTTTTGACGTGACATATGCAGTGCAATGATGTTTTCTCAGCAACCCGTGCGCCTAAATCGATTCCGAACATATATTCTTGCTCGTCGTGAGCTGGTGCATCGACCCATGTGCCGTTTTTCACCACTCGCTGCTCCGTTGAGAAATCAACAAGCGATTACAGAGTAAAAAGTCGATGAAGATAACTTTTTTCGGCTGAATTCCCACACCTAGTGCGCTATCGGGTTTTGTAGAGCAAACACTGCTCTATCAGAGCCTGAGTGCCGAATTCTCTGCCCTCTGATTAAATGAAAAAATATGCGTCAAACGATTCTTGAAGAAAATCGATATCAACGAATCGATTTTTTTTTCGATCTGAATTCGAAAAAGGACTCGGTCGACAGTGAAGCGATAATTGCTTATCTTAGTTACTCAAT